CCTAGTGCAGGTTCCATAGAGGTCGACAGACCTCTTTCTACTAAAGGAAAATGTTGTGGTTACAGACAAAAGGGTTCTTCACCCATTTCTCCTCCACCTAAATGAAAATGGCCACTTTGATACAGTGGAAGTGTTGAGGTTTCCATTCTAATTTGGATGACATTAAGGCTTTGGTTGATTTCTATCATCCCATGTGTCTCTCCTTACATTCTGAAACCTGCTGATACTGTCACCTTTTGGCAGTTTTCTTTATAATGGAATGACAGGTTGTGTGATGGATGAGTTCATGGATGTGTGGCACTGTTGGTTGACCAGCACATACCCACCTTGTCTGTGCCACTTGATACACCGTTGGAGGCTGTAGCTGTCCATATCTCTGTGGGTTGTACCATCATTGTTTGCTCTCTCTACCTGTCTCCATGAGAGACTTAGGATCAATTGGAGCTTAATACTCTTTTAGAACAGTTGCCATCTTGGGAGACTTTAATGGACACAATCCAATTTTGGGTGGTGCTGCTATTGATGAGAGGGGTCATTTTGCAGAGTGTATGCTCTCGGTTCACAACCTTTCTCTTTTCAGTACTAGTTCTTTTACCTATTTTCATGCACCTAATCAGTCTTTCACAGCTGTTGATTTATCTATCTGTTCCCATTCACTTTTTTCATATTTCTTGGAGGGTTGGTGAACCATGTGGCAGTGATCATTTCCAATCGTTTCAAGGGTGATTGGCCATGGTTGATGCCACCTGACCTGAGTGCCATGGTGGAAGTTGGACCATGCTAACTGACTCTCCTTCACCACTCTCTCTGAACTAGATCCTACTGTTGTTAGTGTTCCATCTATTAACGACTGTGTGTAGGCAGTAACCAATTGTATAATTCAAGTAGCTGTTTGTTCTATTCCTAAAACCTGGACACATTTTCCACAGTATTTTTGTCCATGATGGTCTCTTGCCTACCAGCAAGCACGGGAGGCTCAGAAACAAGTCTGGGATACCTTTTGCAGGTTTCCTACTTTTCCAATCACATTGCTTCCCAGTGGGCCTGTGTCCCTGCTCAGCAAGTCAGACATCAAGGCCAGAAGAAATCTTGGATTAAGTTCACCATCAACATCTTTTCTACCACCAGTTCCAAAGTCGTCTGGGATGAGATTTGGAAAGTCAATGAAATGTATACTTCCATCTTGCTCTCCAATGATCTGGAAGTTGCTGATGTACAAAGTATTGCCAATACTCTCAGGGAGAGTTTTACATATCTTTCCAGTGCTTCTGTCTTTTCTCCCCCCTTTTTGGTCATCAAGTCTCGGGCTGAGCAATCGTCCCTTTCCTTTCGAGCTGATCGTCTCTGTGATTATAATCGCCCAATTACACTGGTAGAAGTTCAGCTTCCTCTTCATCAATCTGGCAATACATCAGTCAGACCTGATGATGTTCACTATGAGGTGCTGCGCTATCTCTTTGCTACCTTTTTTGCTGTTCTTCTGGTTGTTTTTAACCAGATCTGGCAAAAGAATGTTTTTCCAGTTGCTTGGTGCAAGGCTATTGTTCTTACTTTCTCCAAGCCTAGGAAGGATCCCAAGATTCCTTCTAATTATTGTCCAATTGCTTTGACTAGCTGTCTCTGTAAGGGTAAAAAGTTACAAATAAAAATGGGTAAATGGCCATAAAACCCATATGAATGGAGGTCCCACAAAATGCCAAACCCCTATGTAGTTTCAAGCCTTCTCAAGATCAAAGAAAATAGAAACAAGATGCTCTTTCTTGAGAAAGGCTTTCCCGATCAAGGTTTCGGGATGAATTAGGTGATCCACGGTGGAGCACTGTCAACAAAAACCACATTAGGTTGGAGAGAGGAGATTGTTTTATTCAAGGAACCAAACAAGACATGCATTAACCATCCTTTTTAAAAATGAGAGGCAATTCCAAGTCTGTGTGGGTTTGACCCTTTCCCGCTGTTTTACACAGGAACTTGAAGTCCCTCAAGGTTGTGTCTTCAGTGTCACCCTTTTCAGTATCAAGATCAATGTTATCACTAAACAACTTCCTCCTACTGTTGCGAACGGCCTCTATGTTGATGACAGTCCACATTTCTTGTCAATCATCGGACATCAAGTACATGTATAGCTAAAACTGTCGTTCAGTATCAAGAAATCCAGGTTTAGATAAAGCTAACGTTTAGTATCAAGAAATACTTATATAGAAACAGCTGTCTTTCAGTATCAAAAAGTACATGTATAGATAAAGCTAACTTTCAGTATCAAGAAACAGTTGTATAGATAAAGCTGTCTTTCAGTATCAAGAAGTACATGTATAGTTGAAGCTAACTTTCAGTATCAAGAAATACTTGTATAGATGCAGCTGTCTTTCAGTATCAAGAAGTACATGTATAGTTAAATCTGTCATTCAGTATCAGTAAGTAGCTCTATACATATATTTTTGATATTGGTTAGATTATATTACTTTTCAGTGCCCTGTCCTGCAGTACCAAAAAATAATTTTTATTTCAAACTCATAATATTTATTATTAAGTGTCAAGGTAAAGTTTTGATTTAGGAACATTTGTCTTATGATATAATTATCTCTTGATAAAAATTGTATATCTTTTGAATAGATGTATTATTAGTTCAGAATATATGAACATGTTTATCCTCTTTTTTTTTTATCTCAAAAAAATTTTGTTTTTTCCCAATAGAACTAGTCTTCAGTATGGAATAAATTGCTTAAAACGATTGAATTATGATAGAGAATTGCTAGAAGAAAGAAGAAGGAATAGTGAGCATGAAATAAAAGGCATCTCAGGTATTTTTATGAATGTATATATCTGAAAACTTAATGTTATAAAAATATTATTATATTATCTTTCCAAAAGTAACACTTAACTTATTCTGAAAAAGTATAATTATATTAAGAATAACATTTATTGGTTGTAGCAAAGGTGTTTTACAACCTTGCAAAAAATGCTTAGCTGCCAAAGAAATTATTAAATTAAAATACAGCAAAATTATTTTTGGTTTTACATCAAAATGAATAATATATATTATTCATATTTTGTAAAAAAAGTGAATAGAATTTATTAATATTAAAACATTACAATTCCAGATACTTGTGTAAATATAAATAATTAAAACACCTAAATGATCATTGTTTTTTCAATACACAATTGTAAAACTATTCTGAAACTGTCAGTGGTCTCAAAACATGTAACGTCTGTTTTTAGATACTTAAACAATGTTGACTATTTTAGTTTTAATTACTTAGAATTTATTAATATTAAAACATTACAATTCCAGATATTTGTGTAAATATAAATAATTAAAACACCTAAATGATCATTGTTTTTTCAATACACAATTGTAAAACTATTCTGAAACTGTCAGTGGTCTCAAAACATGTAACGTCTGTTTTTAGATACTTAAACAATGTTGACTATTTTAGTTTTAATTGCTTAGAATTTATTAAGCTATAAAATTAAGTTTCTCATTATAATGTCTATTCTTCTAGATGTCATGGTTTGGGCTAATGAACGGGTAATAAAATGGATCAACTCTATAGGCCTCAAAGAATATTCTAATAATCTTCTAGAATCTGGAGTACATGGAACACTTATAGCATTAGATGAAAGTTTTGACCACAATGCTATGGCATTAGCTCTTCAAATTCCTACTCCTAATACTCAAGTAAGTATGTTACATTTCTTCTCCCTTGCTTTAATCCTTTAACCACAGGTACACTTTTTAAGTTCCTTTATGCTCATGTCACAAAAAAGTGTTACTGAGTTACGTTCAAAATTTCATTAAAACACTTGTCTATCAATGTATTTTAATGAAATTAGCATTATCAAATACATTATAATTGAAAGTTTTATATTATCAAAGTTATTATTCCTTTATTTTGAAAGAAACGTCTGAAATAAACAATAAAATATTCAGTTTTATTGTCATGTGATGAATGGGCAGTTAAGATAGCTTTGGTTGCTTATATTTTTTATTTAACTTAGACTCAGCACATTTACGACAGTCTAGACGAACTTCTACATGTACAAGGTTAAATTCTAACCATAAGTTTCATCTTACAATAGCTGACATTCCAAGATGAAAATTACATCATTCTCCCTCTCCGATAGAAGCCATGCTCACATTCCAAAGTAATCTGTCGCTTAGCAACAGTCTTTTCTAGAATTGAATGGCATGCTTATAAGCAATATAAAGAGCAGATTTCTCAGTCTAATCTCTCAAGCTTACCAAGAAATGTAAGCAATAAATTATTTTTCAAATGAAAAGCAAACTGCTGCTAAGTCCATTGTTGAGATCAATGTCCCTAGCACTTGGGTATTTTTTCTCGCCTTATACACATTGGTTTTAGGTCTTCTTTTTATACTTTAGTTAATTATGTATTATTTGTGTTTTAAAATTCATATTTGAAAGATTTTATGATTTTTAAATATTATTCGGAACTCGGAGAAGTTTTTCCTAACGAGGAGGCTAAACTGTCTCTGCTGATGATAGCGTTATATCACCCGCAGACACCTGTTTAAGTGTATCAACATAAATAATAAAAGATAAAGAATTGTAAAGGAAAATAAAACATTAAAAATTTTAAAAATTGTGAAAAGGTAGAGATTTGAAAGTACGTATATGACCAATGATGATATTTTTACATTTTTCCACAAAGAGATAAAATGTATTTATGTATTTAAATTTTTTTAATTTTAACACTTCATTGCACTACATGTTGCTGATAATAGCTAGAGTTAATGATATGGTAGAGAAAGTGGAAAATAAAACAGATACATTTACCTTAAAAAATTTTGGATATTCATTTAGGAGGTTCTAGAGATTATGCAAGTGAAATGTGAAAACTATAAGATAAGAACATAGCATTTTTGTACTTTACATGAAAATCACATCAGCATGTGAACTATTCAGAGTCCAAGTGCAAAGAACTACATTAAATAACGAATTTCCAATAGAAATTGTAGAAAAAAATCTAAATCAAATATTTTATTTTTCTGAAACTACATACTTTTAGGAAAGTTCTTGTCAAATTTAAAACAATTTCCTCCACCATTTTGGGAATGAAATATGATGAGAGCGATGTTACATACTAACAATTTCTGTAGCCATTACTCATAGGGTTAATACTAGTGCAGAAGCATCAGAACCAGGGGTGTTGTAGCACCTTACTTTTACATATTTGACTTGTATAGCAACTGTAACTCATCTTATTATATTAAATCTGCGTGTCTAGCCAAGCACCCACACTTTGCAACTCCTTCCTACACCATTGTTGTGTTGTGGGCACCCTGAATTACTGGACTTTTGGTAGACTAAGAATAAGTGAAGAGTCACCACTACCACTGGGTGATTTAATTGGCATAATTGATCACCTATGAGCAGCAATGACATTGATTAGTGTTATGTAAACTAATCAATTAATTTAATTATTATTAAAGCAATTAATGTCAAAAAATAATCAACTAATCAATCTCCAGTTATTACTGCTTTTGATTACTCTAACAATCAAGTAATCAAAATTATGATTAAATAAATTGTGACAAAATAATCAAATCATTGAAAAAATGTGTTTCTGATTATTACCATTTTTGATTATTTCAACTATCCAAGTAATCAAAATATTGCCATTATGTTTTTTTTTGTTGTTGTTGTTAAGCACAAACCTACATAATGGAATACCAGTACTCTGCCCACTCGGGGTATCAAAACCTGATATAAATGTTATAAGCTGTTTTTTTTTACTTCAAATTTGTTCAGCTTTTGACCAACATGGTCTGATGAAAGAGATATGCAAGTTGTATGATAGTACAATCAAAGAGGGGATATGCAAGTGGTATGACAGTACAATCAAAGAGGGGATATGCAAGTGGTATGACAGTATAATCAAAGAGGGGATATGCAAGTGGTATGACAGTATAATCAAAGAGGGGATATGCAAGTGGTATGACAGTATAATCAAAGAGGGGATATGCAACTGGTATGAGAGTATA